GGTGTTCCCGGCACTGCTGCTCCTCAAGGCACGCAGAGTGGCGTGCAGCTGACAAAAGGAGGGCAGAAGACAGCTGGAATGGCCTATTCGAGCGCTGCTGGCGCAGACGGCCGGCGCAGCTGCAGTCCAAGCCCGGCCACTTGCATAAGCCAGCCGTGCATCGTCATCAATGGTGACGCGGGACAAACGGAGCAGGCGCGCACAGCTCCTGGGACGGGCGCAGTAGAGCTGGTTATGCAGCCTTGTCTCCCTCTGAGGATGTTTGCTTTGCAAGCACACTGCAACCCCCGTGCGCTCCCGGGCTGGTGGAAGCCCGGGATGGGTGAGGCAGTGGTGGTGCCTGCACTGTTTGTTCATAGTTGTGCATGAATTGCTGTTGCTGGACTTTCGGGGGCTTGTCACCACAAGGGAACCCCTGTCGCCCGCAGGAAGGAGCAGCCAACACAGGCAGAGACGGCCCCCTGGTTTCAGCCCCGGCGGCGGCAGAGCAGGGCGGGTGGGGACCTGCAGCAGCAACTGCAGCGGCGAAAGCACAGGGCGGCGGCGGGGGTGGAGGCAAATGGCCGGGGCTGGGTGTAGCGGAGGCAGGCGCTGGGGCAGCAGCGGTGCAGGGCACCGACAACAGAGCGCAGGCGTGTGCTGGCGACTTCCCACCTACCAACAGCCCAAGCGATGCGGGATGGCAGCGGGTGAAGACGGTGCAGTTTCTCTGCGGCGCTGGCGTCCGCTGCAAGAACGTCAGGAAGGGCAGGGGCCCGCAAAGGCGCACGGGCGGCGCCCTGGTGGGCAGGGAGCCCGGCGTGGTGTGCAGCGTCGGCAAGTGCGGCGCCAGCTTCTATTGCTGCCAGGCTTGCCACCAAAGGTTCCACCGGTCGTGGGAAGGATGCGGCCAGGTACGCGGAGCACGGCTTCGGCTTTGGGTCGTGGGCGTGGGTCTATAGTTGGTCTGCCTAGCGCTGCACCTTAGTACCTGCCATCTTTGGAAGTGATAACTAGCGTCACCACTGGGCTCTTGGACCTCGCCGCCAACCCAGAGTGCACCTGCCCGTGCCACCCAACAGGACCACACGGCCGAGCGCCTGACCAGAAAGGATGTGGAGGTCCTGGCGGAGGCACTCCCTTCCAAGAGACGGGCGCCCGTCGGCCATGATGGCGGCGATGGTGGCAGCGGCAAGGCCGGGCACGACGCAAGTGCAGCGGCGGCAGGCGCAGACTCGCAGGTCGATGAGAGGGAGTTAGTGACTTGCAGGCGGGTGTTTGGTGCGGACGTGAGCGTGGACGCCGACAGCAGCCCTGGGCGGTTGGTCTGCCAGCCAGCCGACCACGCTCCTGGTGCCGCTGGCCAGAAGGGCAAGGCGCTGGCGGAGGCATCCGCAGTGGTGGTGGCAGAGGCCGCAGCAGCGGCCCGGGAGCAGCTGCAAGAAGAGTCCCTGGGCAGGGCACCCGTGCCTGTCACAGAGAGTGCAGTCCCGGAGCTCAACCTGTACCCTGCAGGGGCAGCGGCAACAAGGACAGTGGGCCACGACGCAGTTGCTAGGGCAGCGGCAAGCGGTGTCGCCGGCGCCCCGACCAACACATCAACCGTTAGCCAGCGCACCCGCAGCAGACTCGCGCTGCTCAAGTTGAGCGCGGGAGCGGGCGTGCTGGCCGGTGTGGCGCCTCTGGACGCGGCGGCTTCTCGGCAGCGGGTGCGGGGGGCGGCCCAAGCAGCGGCGGCAGGGTCGACG